AACTGCAAGATGCAATAGCCAAGAAAGGAGGATGCCAATTTAACGAAGTGAAGATTGGCCAGAAGAGAGGGACGGACAGGATGGGGTCTGTACTCAGTCTGGGTACGGGCTCCTATCGAAGTCGCAAAGAAGCTTGCAGAAGGCAAGCTCCTCGTCGGATGGGTGGTGGCGAAGGTGACTGTGGCAAAACCCCGGGCACTCCGCTGCTACAAGTGTTTGGAGAGCGGACACATCGCGGGCCGCTGTGTCACAGAATGTGACCGTAGTCGGCTGTGCTACCGATGTAGCCAGCCCGACCATGTCGCCGCGTCCTGCACGGCCGAGCCACATTGCGCCATATGCGCTGCAGCCGGCAAGGACGCGAAGCACAAGTTGGGTGGCGCTAAGTGTAAAGCGCCTCCCAAAAGGGCGCGCAAAAAGGACCCCACGAATGGGGCCAAGGCCCCTCCAACAGGGGCTCCTATGGAAACATAGGCAGAAGAAGGCCAAGACGGCGATACGCGCGCGCAAGCTGTGCGACATCTGCCCTCGGCTCGGGGCTGGGCAAAGGCTTAGCTGATACCAGCCCCTTGACCGAACAGAGCAGTGGCAGACGGGCTCTTGGATGGTTTAGTGGGTAGTGGCCGACTCGCGGTTGACCCCCACACTCCCCCCGCCATTGCACTTGGCCCGGCGGGGGCGTCGGTAAAGACTCGATTCCTCCAAGTAAAAAAAAAAAAAAAAAAAAAAAAAAAAAAAAAAAAAAGGTTAAGGTTAGGTATTAGGTTGGGTATTAGGGAGAGGTTAGGTTAGGTTCCCCTCCCCCCCCACTGCACTTTGAGTATCTCGTGCAGCCCCAGGGCTTGTCGTGCCGGGAGGGCCCGGCCATCTGAGTTAGGGTGGTATCGGCTATGGCAAAGTTTGTTAACTTTGTGATGACCGGTGCGTATCCTGCAGACTCGGTGGTCGCTAACTGGGAGGCGGGCGATACTCTGCAATATTGTATATTGCTCTGTATGGCTTGCTACATCTTCGGCGTTCCTTGCCAACCGCGTTTTTCGTGGTGGGTGGGGAAGACGAAGTTTTGTTTATCGCGGTCCTTCAGACCGCGATGCGCAGTGAAGCGCGAGGAAGGGCGTCCTATGGCGCGGGCCCGGGGCGCTTTTCGCCCTGGGTCGGGTGTGCGAGGATATGGCGCGGCGGGCCCTCGACGGCAAATGATACGTCTACGCCGTCAGGGTCGGACCGTTTCACGTCTCCCGTCGGCGCCATGCACACAGCGGCGGCGGGCCGGGAATGGCTTGTTGCCTCCGGTTAGGGGTTGTTACCCCCCGTCGTCGCACCGAGAAGTCGGCTTTTACGCCCACAAGTCGGCACAGCCGATGAAGAGGATGGCCTGCTGCGGAACGGGAGCCTGAGCCTGTAACGGGACGGGAGCCTGGGCCTGCGGCGGGACTCGACCCCTGGACATTGCTTCGGGACCGGTCGAGCAGGGTGGAAGGAGACTTTGTAGGGTAAGTTTTTGCACATTGTATATATTTTTGTAAATAGTGTTTTTTGGAGAGGGTGCTTCTCACCCATGTACATATTTTATTTTCTTTTCATTTTACTTTTTATTTTTTTATTGTTTATATTGTATTGTGTTTGTGTAAATAATGTGTTTTTAGTCGATTGCCCCCTATGGGCATGTATATATTTGACGTTGGAGATCGCTTCTCCAGTGGTGCTTCGGCACGGAGGATGGCGGACTCGTAGTCCGCGAGGGCGCTGACATTTTGTGTGCCCCCAATCCTAAGTCTGTGGTGCCTGGCGATAGGATGAATGGCTGGTGGGAGTCCAGTCCCTAAGGCACCAAACAAAAAACAAAAACAAAAACATGGAGGCAATCTACGTATAAAAAAAACTACTCCAGGTGGGTCAAATCCCACCCGCCGTACTGGATCCAGCAATGGTGAAGGTGCCGCGGTTGAGCCGGAACGTATTCTGGAGGCCGGCAACCCCCATGATGAAGTTAGAAAGGGAGTTAGTGATGGAAGTAGGAGTGGAAGAGAAAAGGAAGGAGGTGGGAAAGAGTTGCGGGTGGTGTTGCAGAGGACTGTAACGCCACTGCCCGTAACAGAAGGAGAAGTTCGCGGCTCACGGGTCCATTCGATGGTTTCGAGACTGTCTGATTCGGACTCGGACTCTATGTGCAGCGTATCATCCGCTGCATCGAGTAGTCTGGCTCGTTCGAAGGCGTCCTCGCCCGTTTCGGGGCCTGGTCGTTTTTGGCGTGAACGAAGCCGCAAGCGAAAGAAGGAGATGGACGAGGAGGGTAGTTCTACGGACACCCCGACCTCAGTTCAAAGAAAAGGGAGAGGTCGCCCACCAACAACGGGCGACTATATCGGCTTGGCTGCAGCCAAAAAAGAGCTGGCGAAAGCTCAACGGGAGGAGATGCAAGCTAGGGCGGAGGCCGAGCTTATGGCATCAATAACAGAAGCAAGACTGACGAGGAGCACAACACCAGCCTCCTTGGAATGGGACAGCGGGGACATAATGGAGACCCAAGACTCCGGCCCACGCTCTGCACTTGAGATGCAGAAGACGATAGATGCCAGCCTGGGCATCATAGAGGACGTGGCCAAACGTTCCTCCAGCCTTAAGGGAACATTTGTTCGTGCCCTGAAAGAGGCCGTGGCTACAGTTAGGGAGAACACCGGAGTGCTTATGAGACGCACCATATCGGATGAGACCAAGGCTCTTAGAGCTGAAAATGAGCGCCTTCGCAAGGAGTTGGAAGAGCTCAGCAAAAAGGTGGAGGGGATACAGAAGGCCCCACAGCTGCCAAGGCAGTTTGGAGGAGTTTGAGGCTGGTCTCCTGCGTAAGCTGGGGGACAGGATCAATGCTCGAATTGAAGGGCTTGAACCCCGGCTTAATCCAGCGCCACGGATCAGGCCACCCTTATCGGGAGATAAGAAGAAAGGAGGAGAGAGAATAGAAGAAAGACTTACCTATTCCTATGGCGGTTTCGGCTCCGGCAACAGCCTCTGGTCCTGAAACAGAAAGGAAGAAGAAGAGTAAGTCAAAGAAGAAGAAGGGGAAAGGCACCGGAGAGGGTTGAGTGCACGGGAGAATCGGCTCCCACCGCTCCCCGCGCACTCGTCCGTCCCCGTTGCCAAGACTCAAAGTCGGGCCCCATCTCGTCCGCCCAACCCAGACTCTCTTGAAGAGAACTGGGTCACGGTGGTCAAGAAGGGACGCCCGGCTCCGAAGAGATGCGGACGAAAGGACAGCCGAAAAAGGCAAAGAAGGCCAGTAACAAAGACCAAGGCCCAAGGCTTCAAACACCATCTGGCCCCAAGGCGTCGATACCGAAACTCAAAGGCCCGCGAACTTCGGCCGTCGTGGTCACGCTAACAGAAGAAGCCTCCAAGAAAAGGGCTCACCTACAGTGAAGTTATAAAAGAGGCAAAGGAGAAGTTGGACCTCAAAGAAATTGACTGGCTTTGAGGCCATCAGGTTTAGGAAGGCAGTGACGGGAGCGACAATTCTGCAACTCCCTGGTGCTACCAGCGACCCAAAAGCTGACAAGCTCGCGGAGAAACTAAGGGAGATTTTTGATGGAGATTCGGTTCGGGTGTCGCGGCCAGTTAGAGCCGTTGACATCAGGATCAGTGGACTGGATGAATCGGTCACGTCGGACGAGGTGAGGGACGCGATCGTCAAAAAAGGAGAGTGCCTTGCTTCTCAACTGAGGGTGGGGCCCATAAGATCGGATCGATCGGGTTTGTGCTCGGTCTGGGCACACGTTCCGAACACGGCTGCCAAGAAAATGATGGAAGGGCGATTCTTGGTGGGCTGGGTTTCGGCCAAGGTGTCTCTGGGGAAGCCGAGAGCACTTCGATGCTTCCGGTGCCTCGAAAGTGGTCACGTAGCTGGTCGGTGCAACTGCGAAAGTGATCGCAGCGGCCTTTGCTACAGATGTGGCCAGCCAGGACACTGTCGCGGCCTTCTTGTTCGGCCAAACCGCACTGTGCGGTATGTGCGAGCGGCAAATCGAAGGACGCCAATCATAAGAGTGGGAGGTGACCAAATGCTCGGCCCCCACTAAGAAGAATAAGAGAGAAAGGTCCCGTTACACAGGACACTGTCCCCCACCGAGCGGGGCTCAAAACATGGAGATAGGCAGAAACCGCGGAACCATAGAATGTCTCTGCGATTCCTACAAGGCAATCTTAAATCACTGTGCTCGGAGCTCAAAATCTGTTCGTGCAGAGTCTGGCACAGTGGTCAATCAAGATAGTCGGTCGTTATCGCGGAGCCATACATGGTTCCAGCACCTAGGGACGATTGGGTCGGGGACAGCGATAATGGTATCGGTCGCCATAGTCGTGCGCAACAACACCACGACACACCCCCAATCGGAACTGTCGCAAGAAGAAAGAACGGATTGTGTCTCCCTTAAAGTCGGGAATACTGTGGTCGTGATAGGGTGCTACTTTTCTCCCAGAATCGTTCGTTGGCCGAATTCGAAGGACTCCTGGAGGAGGTTGGCTCCCTCGTTAGGAGGAGGCAGACCACATAACATCGTTGTCGTCGGGGACTTCAACGCCAAGTCTACGGCGTGGGGGTCTCCAGCCTCTAACATCAGAGGGGACCTTTTAGTGGAGTGGGCCGCTGAACACGACCTGGCTCTCTCTAAATCGTGGATCGGAGGAGACTTGCGTCAGAATGCAGGGGGGTTCAATTGTCGACTTGTCGTTTGCGAGCCCCTCCGTGGCACGTCGCATCCGGGACTGGGAGGTGCTGACAGAGGTGGAGACGCTGTCAGATCACCGATACATTCGGTTTAGTGTCGCCCCTCTGGCGGCATCGACCAGGCCCAGTCCTTCATCGGATCCTCCAGCCGTTGGCCCAAAATGGGCCATCAAAGGCGTTGGATAGGGAGAAGCTCGAACTGGCCACAATTGTCAGCAGCTGGTGTCCAGTCTCCGAATCCAGAAGGGTAGAAGAGGAAGCGGAGTGGTTTGGTCGAGAAATGGCGCACATCTCGAATGTCGCTATGCCAAGAGTCAGAGCCCCGCCAAACAAAGACCAGGTCTATTGGTGGTCTCCGGAACTTGCGCGTCTTCGGGCTGCATGCTCAGCTGCGCGTCGTCATTACTCGCGTTATCGGCGACGACACAGAGGGAACGGTGATCCAGCGGAAGAGAACCGCATATACGCGGTATACATCGAGGCGAAGAACATCATGCGCCAAAAGATAGCAGAGGCGAAGCAGAGAGCGTGGGAGGAGTTCCTCGAGTCTCTCGAACTGGATCCCTGGGGGCGCCCCTATAAATTAGTCATGAACAGGTTGCGTCCCTGGGCCCCTCCCCTTACAGCTGCGATGGAGCCGTCACTTTTAACATCTATTGTGTCGGCTCTATTCCCACCCCATGCCTCTGGACTGGGATCACGGGTCGGGGTTAGAGAAGTGACCGAAGACTCGGAGAGTGTCCGGAGGTAACCGAGGCAGAACTAGAAGGTTGCCGTCGAGAAGATGCAGGGCAAGAGAACTGCTCCGGGGCCGGATGGAGTTCATGGAAAGGTCTGGGCCCTTGTTTTGCAGTTTGGCTTAGAAGAAAGATTCCGCAGACTGCTGTCATCTTGCCTGCGGAACGCCTGCTTCCCGGAAGCATGGAAGAAAGGAAAATTGGTCCTGTTGCGCAAACAAGGAAAGCCGGTGGAGTCTCCGTCTGCCTACAGGCCAATTGTACTTACTCAACGAGGCGGGTAAACTCTTTGAACGCGTCGTCGCGAACAGAATCGTCCGACATTTAACAACAGTCGGACCGGATCTGTCGGATAATCAGTTTGGTTTCCGGCAGAGACGATCCACCGTCGACGCAATCGCCCGTCTCCGCGATATTTCGGAAGAAACCACGGCTCAGGGAGGGGTGGTGTTGGCGGTGTCGCTAGACATAAAAAACGCCTTCAACTCTCTTCCTTGGGACGCGATAATGCAGGGCCTCGAACATCACCGGGTTCCCTGCGTACTTAACAAGGACGATTGCTTCCTACTTGGAAGGCAGAAGCATTGTGTTCCCTTCTAGGGAAGGATGGGGCGAACATCGAGTGCAGCGTGGGGTTCCTCAGGGGTCGGTCCTTGGGCCACTCCTTTGGAACCTCGGATATGACGTCGTGCTAAGAGGTGCACTGTTGCTGCCGGGGGTCAGTGTGATATGTTACGCTGATGACACACTAGTCGTAACTGAAGGGCGAGACATCAGGGATACGATGGTGAAGGCCACGGCCGGAGTGGCTCAGGTCGTGGCAAAAATCAGAAGATTAGGCCTTGAGGTGGCCTTGGAGAAATCCGAGGCCATCCTGTTTCCACGGCTCCAAGAAGAGCCCCACCATCTGGCTCTCAAATAGTCGTCGGCGGAGTTTCCATCGGAGTCGGGACGACTCTCAAATATTTGGGCCTCGTACTAGACTCCCGGTGGAACTTCAGAGCACACTTCACGGCGTTAGCACCCAAGCTGACGGCTACAGCGGCGGCGCTCAGCAGACTCATGCCCAACGTCGGCGGGCCAAGATCGAGTCACCGCAAGCTCTTCGCGGGAGTTGTGAGATCCCAAGCCCTATATGGTGCGCCAATATGGGCTGGTGACCTGGACAACGCCAATAAGGCGATTCTTAGGCGGTCGCAGCGGTCTGTAGCCATCCGAGTGGCACGGGCCTATCGAACAACATCATTTCGACGCGGTGTGCCTATTAGCAGCAACGCCGCCATGGTATGTTGAAGCGAAAGTGTTGGCGGACTTCTACTGGAGAAGGGATCGGTGCAGAAGGTCGGGAGTGGAACCGACTCATGAACAGATGGAAGCATGGCGGAAACAAGGCCGCGAGGCCATAGTGAACTTATGGCATGAAGAACTGGCCAATGCCAGATTTGGAAAATGGACGCTGGAGGCTATACTGCCAGTGTTCCAACAATGGATTGACAGGCAATGGGGGACACTGTCTTACCATCTGACCCAGGGTCTCACCGGGCACGGTTGCTTCGGCAGCTACCTTCACAAAGTTGCCCGAAGAGAACCCACCCCCATTTGCCATCACTGCGGGTGTCTTAATGATACCCCGCAGCACACAATATTTGACTGCTCGGCATGGGACTCCCAGCGGGGAACCATGTTGAGAATTACCGGACTAGACAGACCAAGACGTAACCCCCTTAGTTTACAGGACCTGGTTCAGAGCATGGTCTCCGACGAATCCAAGTGGAAAGCTGTCCAGGCGTTCTGCGAGGAGGTGCTCAAGGCCAAGGAGGACAATGAGCGGGCTCGGGAAATAGAACCGGGGGCTCCGCTCCAGAGAAGAAGAAGAACAGGGAGGCGCAGACGCAACTTTGCGAATGCGCCGTAGGTATCTGTAAATATTTAAATAGGTTAGATCTTAAATGTACATATCTTATTTGTTGTACATTTTGTAAATATAATCGTAGTGAAGTAGGTCAAGAAGGTGAGCTGCGCGCTATGCGCTGCGGCAAAGCACTTGGCAAAAAGGGGGTCTGGACAAGGTTTCAACTGATCGCCAACCCCTTGCCAAACAGTGCGTTGATGGGCTCTTGGATGGTTTAGTGGGTAGTGGCCGACTCGCGGTTGACCCCCACACTCCCCCCGCCATTGCACTGCCCGGCGGGGGCGTCGGTAAAGATTGCGATTCCTCCAAGTAAAAAAAAAAAAAAAAAAAAAAAAGGTTAGGTTAGGTTAGGTTAGGTTCCCTTCCACTGCACTTTGAGTATCTCGTGCAGCCCCAGGGCTTGTCGTGCCGGGAGGGCCCGGCCATCTGAGTTAGGGTGGTATCGGCTATGGCAAAGTTTGTTAACTTTGTGATGACCGGTGCGTATCCTGCAGACTCGGTGGTCGCTAACTGGGAGGCGGGCGATACTCTGCAATATTGTATATTGCTCTGTATGGCTTGCTACATCTTCGGCGTTCCTTGCCAACCGCGTTTTTCGTGGTGGGTGGGGAAGACGAAGTTTTGTTTATCGCGGTCCTTCAGACCGCGATGCGCAGTGAAGCGCGAGGAAGGGCGTCCTATGGCGCGGGCCCGGGGCGCTTTTCGCCCTGGGTCGGGTGTGCGAGGATATGGCGCGGCGGGCCCTCGACGGCAAATGATACGTCTACGCCGTCAGGGTCGGACCGTTTCACGTCTCCCGTCGGCGCCATGCACACAGCGGCGGCGGGCCGGGAATGGCTCATAGCCTCCGGTTAGGGGTTGTTCCCCCCCGTCGTCGCACCGAGAAGTCGGCTTTTACGCCCACAAGTCGGCACAGCCGATGAAGAGGATGGCCTGCTGCGGAACGGGAGCCTGAGCCTGTAACGGGACGGGAGCCTGGGCCTGCGGCGGGACTCGACCCCTGGACATTGCTTCGGGACCGGTCGAGCAGGGTGGAAGGAGCTTCTGGTAGGGTAAGTTTTTTGCACATTTATTTTTTTTGTATATAGTGTTTTTGGAGAGGGTGCTTCTCACCCCTGTATATATTTTATTTTCTTTATTTACTTTGTATAAATATTATATTGTATATAGTGTTTAAATAAGGCGGAGATCGGTTCTCTGCCGCTGTTAGGCGGTTGCGAACCGAAAGTGGTGCTTCGGCACGGAGGATGGCGGGCTCGTTGTCCGCGAGGTGCGCTGACATAGGCAGCGCCCCCCCAATCCTAAGTCTGTGGTGCCTGGCGAGGGGATGAATGGCTGGTGGGAGTCCAGTCAAAAAAAAAAAAAAAAAAAAAAAAAAAAAAAAAAAAAAAAAAAAAAAAAAAACATATGGGGGGGGGGCCCCCCCCCCCCCCCCCCCCCCCCCCCGGGGGGGGGGGGGGGGGGGGGGGGGGGGGGGGGTGTGGGGGGGGGGGCCCCCCCCCCAAAAAAAAAGAAGGGGGGGGGGGGGGGGGGGGGGGGGGGGGGGGGGAAAAGGGGGGGGGGGGGGGGGGGGGGGGGGGGGGGGGGGCCGGGAATTTTACCCCCCCCCCCCCAAAAAGAAAAAAAAAAACCGGGGTTGGGGGGGCCCCCCCAGGGTTTTGGGATTGTCTGATTCAGACTCGGAATCATTGTGCAGCGTGTCGCCTGGGGGGGGCCCGGGGGGGGGGGGGGGGGGGGGGGGGGGGGGGGGGGGGGGGGGGGGGGGGGGGGGGGGGGGGGGGGGGGGGGGGGTGCATCGAACAAATAAAAAAAAAAAAAAAAAAAAAAAAAAAAAAAAAAAAAAAAAAAAAAAAAAAAGGGGGGGAAAAAAACCCCCCCGGGGGGGGGGGGGGGGGGGGGGGGGGGGGGGGGGGGGGGGGGGGGGGGGGGGGGGGGGGGGGGCCAAAAAAAGGAGGGGGGGGGGGGGGGGGGGGGGGGGGGGGGGGGGGGGGGGGGGGGGGGGGGGGGGGGGGGGGGGGGGGGGGGGGGGGGGGGGGGGGGGGGGGACCCCCCGCGGGGGGGGGGGGGGGGGGGGGGGGGGGGGGGGGGCGGGGGGGGGGGGGGGGGGGGGGGGGGGGGGGGGGGGGGTTTTTGGGGGGGGGGTATCGTCCGCTGCATCAATTGGCTCGTTCAAAGGCGTCCGAGCCCAGTTTCGGGACCTAGTCGATTCTGGCGTGAACGAAGCCGGAAACGAAGAAAGGAGACAGACGAGGAAGGGAGCTCCACGGACACCCCTTCCTCGATTCAGAGAAAAGGGAGAGGTCGCCCACCAACAACGGGCGAGTATATTGGCTTGGCTGCAGCCAAAAAAGAGCTGGCGAAAGCTCAACGGGAGGAGATGCAAGCTAGGGCGGAGGCCGAGCTTATGGCATCAATAACCGAAGCGAGACTGACGAGGAGTACAACACCAGCCTCCTTGGAATGGGACAGCGCGGACATGATGGAGACCCAAGACTCCGGCCCACGCTCTGCACGAGAGATGCAGAAGACGATAGATGCCAGTCTGGGCATCATAGAGGACGTAGCCAAACGTTCCTCCAGCCTTAAGGGAACATTTGTCCGTGCCCTGAAAGAGGCCGTGGCTACAGTTAGGGAGAACACCGGAGTGCTTATGACACGCACTATCTCGGATGAGACCAAGGCTCTCAGGGCTGAAAATGAGCGCCTTCGGAAGGAGTTAGAAGAACTCAGCAAGAAGGTCGAAGGAATCCAAAAGGCACCCCAGTTGCCAAGTAATTTGGAAGAGTTTGAAGCTGGTCTCCTGCTTAAGTTGGGGGATAGGATCAATGCCCGCATTGAAGGGCTTGAACCTCGGCTGAATCCAGCGCCGCGGCTTAGACCACCCTTAGCGGGAGACAAGAAGAAAGGAAGAGAGGGAATAGAAGAAGACTTACCTATTCCTCTGACGGTTTCAGTTCCGGCAACAACCTCTGGTCCTGAAACAAAAAAGAAGAAGAGTAAGTCAAAGAAGAAAAAGGGAAAGGCACCGGAGAGGGTTGAGTGTGCGGGCGAATCGGCTCCCGCCGCCCCCGCGCACTCTTCCGTCCCCGTTGCCAAGACTCAAAGTCGGGCCCCATCTCGTCCGCCGAACCCAGACTCTCTTGAAGAGAACTGGGTCACGGTGGTCAAGAGGGGACGCCCGGCACAAAAGGATGCGGCGAAAGGACAGCCGAAAAAGGCAGCGAAGCCTAATAAGACCAAGGCCTCTAGCACATCTGGCCCCAAGGCGTCGACACCGAAACTCAAAGTTCCGCGATCTTCGGCCGTCGTGGTCACGCTGACAGAAGAAGCCTCAAGAAAAGGGCTCACCTACAGTGGAGTTCTAAAAGAGGCGAAGGAGAAGTTGGACCTCAAAGAACTGACTGGCTTTGAGGCCATCAAGTTTAGGAAGGCAGTGACGGGAGCGACAATCCTGCAACTCCCCGGTGCTACCAGCGACCCAAAAGCTGACAAGCTCGCGGAGAAACTGAGGGAGATTTTTGATGGAGATTCGGTTCGGGTGTCGCGGCCAGTTAGAGCTGTTGACATCAGGATCAGTGGACTGGATGAATCGGTCACGTCGGACGAGGTGAGGGACGCGATCGTCAAAAAAGGAGAGTGCCTTGCTTCTCAACTGAGGGTGGGGCCCATAAGATCGGATCGATCGGGTTTGTGCTCGGTCTGGGCACACGTTCCGAACACGGCTGCCAAGAAAATGATGGAAGGGCGATTCTTGGTGGGCTGGGTTTCGGCCAAGGTGTCTCTGGGGAAGCCGAGAGCACTTCGATGTTTCCGGTGCCTCGAAAGTGGTCACGTAGCTGGTCGTTGCAACTGCGAAAGCGATCGCAGCGGCCTTTGTTACAGATGTGGCCAGCCAGGACACTTGGCGCGTCGTGTTCAGAAAACCGCACTGTGCGGTATGTGCAGCGGCAAATCGAGACGCCAATCCATAGAGTGGGAGGTGACAAATGCTCGGCCCCCACCAAAAGA